TAGAGACTGGTCTGAGCAGGACTCTGTCAGCATCCCTGGGGAGGATGGTATTATCAGAACTAGGGGTCAGAGAAGCCCAAGATACTACAGAACCAACAGATAAGAGACACCCAAGAATGCAGACCCTTTCCCAAGGCTGACAGAGAGGGAAAGGGATACCATGGCTTCTCTATTCCTGATACTTCCCGGTCTCTCATAACAATTCAAGTTAGCTTTTCCAGCCCACTGTGAAGTGAGCTGATTTGACAGCCTTAGGAAATGCAGTCCACAGGGGCCAGTCCTCTATGCTATAGGTATGGACAGGAGAAGGACAAGGACTGAATCTTGGTGCAAATAGGTCCAGGCCCCAAAATCCTGATTTTCTTAGTCCCAGTGATACTTACGTTGCTAGGGTGAAGGACTTTTAAAGTTGTTTTTCTCTTTTGTTGTTTTTTGTTGTTGCCTTTTAATTTTTCAAAGCAATTTTGTTTCAGTATGATCCCTATTTTAAGCAATCTGTTTTTTTCTCCTTTATAATCAAACTTCCAAAGAAAACTTGCATGACCTAGAGCCCCTTTCTCTAGGAGAGGTGCCCAACAGAGACTGCTACTTTACTCTTGCACGCTGAGTTCTTTCCTAACAATTCTCTATCCAGCACACTGGCTCATCAGGTCTCAGGTCTGCTGTGAATATTTCCTCACAGGGGAAACCCGTAGACCCAGGCAAGTATGGTCTTTGTCTCATACCCTGTGCCTCAAAGACCCTGATCCACATTGCCCCTTGTCCCAGTTACTCAGCTTTGAGGCACTCCACAACTGTCTACTCTCACCTGGGATTATCTATGTGTCCTCTTGGGGCTGCGGGACTCACAGACTTCTAGGGATGCCTGGGATCCTGGCCTGGGGTACCATGGCCCGTCCTTCTTCTAAGAAGATAGGCTGGTAAGTGACTCCTTCCCAGTGACCACGATGGTACGTCTTTGGGGATAACACAAAACTAGTGCCCTGAGTAGTCCTATTGTGCTGATTTGGGTGACTCGTGTCAGACACAGGGTTTTAGTGATCTGTGTTACCAACTGTTACTGCCCCTTGTGCTTGAGCTGTAGGCCTGTGTGTTGACTTCCATGTTCTGGGCCTATCCGCAGTGCTCCAGTGTGTGTGAGCAGCAAGGGCTGTAGGACACCTGATGTACTTCCAGCCACTGGCACCCAGGATGCTCCCCTCTCCCTCTGTGGGCTCCACACCATGTGACAAGCAGTCCTTTGGAGATGGCCTTGCTTTCACTGAGTCTTTTCAGCATCACTAGTGGGTGTTTGATTGATATTCTCTGATTGAAATTATGATGTGTGCTCCCCAGCAGATGTATGTATGGAGAGTTGGTTCTCAGCCATACTGAATGAAGAATGGACATGCCTTTTGCACAAGTGGAAACTCTCTTTTTCCACTGCCTGTAGCCTCTTGCCTGCCTTCCCCACTGGTGGTAGTCTGTGCAAAGTGGGAGCACTTTCACAAGCAATCACACTTGTAGGAATGTAGTGATAGTAACCTAAGTAGTTCAAGAGAAACATGGTAGGAAGATACAGGTGAAGTCTGGGCTATGAAATTACAATCAGTAAATTTAACATGGCTAAAAAGCAAGCTATTGTTCACACTTTTGAAATACTCTGGGAGTGATTGTGGTCATCACCAACAAAGCACCATATAAATGTTTGAAAGAGTCACTGAAGCCACAAAGATAAGGTTTCTGGGTCTGAATAGGAAGAGGCAGTGGCCAGACACTTCACATGCATTAATTGTACAGTAAACAAATATGTGTACATCTCTTCTCTACCCATTGTTCTAAACCTGTGCCAGGAAATTACTATACCTTCCAAGAGTATATGAATGTGCATTTCACTTAAAATCAAAGATAGATAGATAGATAGACAGACAGACAGACTGTAAAACAAATTCTTTGACCAGGGTCTTCCACATCTTTAGGATATTCCGAATTGGACCTTTTTCCTTTTGGGGGATGCTTGGAAACAGGAATCAGTTTACATGAAAGTGGGAGAAATATTCGTTTGAGACCACCAAGGTGACCTCCAGAGCTCCCACCTTATTGAAAGGAGGGGACTTGAAGGTAATGTCCAGCGTGCCTCATTTCCCTCTTATACATCCAAGTTCTTGCTTTCTTTCCAAGGTGAGAGAGAGCTCTGGAGCTGACTTTGGTGTTCTCAAAGGAATATTTCTCCGTTTTATGTGTAAGCTGACTTCCGTCTGCATATTATTCAGTGGTATGTGGTGTGGTGATTTTATTTGCTGTCTGTGTTTGATCTGAAGGTTTCATTTGATAATGAGGGAATCAGAGTTGGCAGCTTATATTATCTTCTGGGAATTGAAACTCAAGGGCAAACCCAGATTTTGTAGGGCCTGACAGTTATGCAACTTTAGAGGCATACTTTAAGAAAAAGAGCAAGTTTGTAATTAGTTCCAGGCTATGGAAGGTCTTGGTATAAGTCAGTCATCTGAAGCATAAGCTTCATAAACTATTTATAGTGATAATACCTTGCCAGAATGCCAATCTTTTATTTAAGGTCTTAGTGTAGATTTCTGTCTTTATCACTTCTAAATTTTACCCTGCTAAATTTCTTGGGAAATTTATTTGTTGTGCTCTGTATTCTTTATTCTTCTTGGTTTCATTGTCATTTGCAAATTGTAGAATTAATCTATATTTTCATTTCACTCACTGGTACAATAATGAATAAGTCAGCTGAAGATTTTATTAACAGATCTCTACTGAAATATTTGTTACTAAGAAAAATAATCTTTTCCTTATTTTGCTGTACTTTCTGTATTCTCCTTTGAAGTGGACCTTCCTATCCTACTACTCATCTTTCCTTCTAAAAGTGGAAATTGAGCCGGGTGTGGTGGCACACACCTGTAATCCCAGCACTTGGGAGGCTGAGGCAGGAGGATCACTGTGAGTTCGAGACCAGTCTGGGCTACACAGTGAGTTCCAGGTCAGTCTCACTATATAAGTGAGATGCTGTCTCAACACCCACCAAAAAAAAAATAATAAATATATGAATAAATAAATAATTCTGGAAATTGGCAGATTTGTTAAATAGTTATTTCCAAAGCATTTATTTACAGGGTAGATAAAAGGAAAGGTATTTTGTGTGAATTGGACATAATAAAAGAAAGGGAGAATTCTCTTAATCTTTGCAAAATATTTGACTATTTGAAGGCATATTTCTAACAATGTTACAAGTTCTAATACTTCTCAAACATCATTAAGATGTGCAATTTGACCTTAATGGGAATCATAATTAGCCTAAGATCAACTTAATTTGAGTATGTATCTCACAATTTCCTTAATTAAGTAATCAAATATGAATAAAATAACAAAGACATCTTCAGAGTTCATTATTTGTCTACTCCTAGACCCCTACTGAGATAAAATATATCTTCTGGAGATGATTGAATTTTTCAGAAGAGAAAATTTAAAAATTAGCAGATATGTTATTATACATATCCCTAAAAGTTACACTGAAGCTTAGTAGGTAAAAAAAAAAAAGTACATATTTGGGAAACAAAATTTCAAGAACTCTGTAGAAAATATTTTCATAAATATGTGGTATAATGTGTTAAGAGACCATGGTAAAACGCTCCAGTTCTTGTTTTAATTCTGTTTCTAACTATATAACTTTGGATATGATATTTAGTATCTCTAAATAAGGCATATGACCTTAAAGGACCTTTTTCTACTCATTAGACTGTGCCTTCACATAAGGAGTTCAAATCCTCAAATCATACTTCCTGACCCATAGCTTCCTACCTGCGGTAGAGTATTTACCTGCCTCTTCTGCACAGAAAGGGTGGTGATAGCTGCTACCCACTAGGCTTTTTCTAAATGGAGATGGAGTGAGATAACGCACGTAGAGACGGTGTATCGTAGGCTTTCGGCAGAGAGACTGGCACATGATTAGGGCTCATCCAGGGTTGGCAATCATTAGTCTTTATTGTGTCATTATTTTCTGGGTATAGACAAAATTGCTCCAGTTGCAGCTACCATAAAATGTTCCACTCATGTGAACATGTTAATACATTTTAGGAATTTGCTGTTTTATTTCAGTGAGCTGTACTAGCAATGTCCTTGTGGGTTCTCCAAGATATTGTCTATAGTAATGTTGATCATTAGGATCTTTTCATAATTACTCCAGGTTTATAATATTTTCAGAAATGCCTACTTACTATCCTCTCTACAGTGGATATATGTGTATCTTCTCCTTTCCCCCCAGCACTTGGAATTTACATAGAAAACTTCATCTGTTGATGTGAGTGCATAGTGACCTGCTTGATTACTTATGTGACTGGAAGGGAAATGTGAAGGTAAAATATAGAACATATAATTGAAAATAAATTTTCCTTTGAAATTAATTGTATTCAAATATTCAGCAATTTCCCTAACCCCATCCTCATTACAAAACATAAACAAATCACCAGTTATCTGACTGACTACATAATCTTAAGAGGTTTTTATAATAAATTTCAGCAATTAACTAAAATGTTTCCTATAGATATTCAAATATTGTCTTTAGACAAAATTCACTAAATCATATTGGAGCCAATTTACCAGCCAAATATTGATGATATATTGACAACAGTGCTATCTCAGTAACACAAACTTTTTATCTGTTTGTACCCTTAACACTGTACCATTAATTCTGACAGATAGCTTCAGAGTTACATTATTAACTTTCCTATAAACGTACCTTTTCTTTTCCCTTCCTTTTTACTTTAAATTATTTTAGCTGATACAGTGAAATATCAGGCACTGAGGAGTGAACAAAAACCCTGGTAATAACAAGAATTGCTTAATAAAGTGTTTGGAATAACACATTCAAAAATAGTTTCTTTTGTAAGCTTTGTAAAAAGAACAACTAGTACTTGATTAGTTAGCTTTTTCTGTGGCAACAAACCACAGACTCTTGGTGGTTCGTGACAATGAACACTTATTTCTTGCTCATGGGTCCGCAGGTTTCACTGGGCTTGGGTCACTTCTACTCCATTTCACTCAAGAGACCTGGGCTCATGAACAGCACTCTTCGGTGCATGGTATTCTCACAGCAGAGAGCATGGTCTTAAGAGAACAAGGAGAAGCATGCAGAGCCCCTCAAAGCCTCTTCCTTCTACACCATTGCACAGATCACAGCAAGTCAGAGGGCCAACCCAAAACTGGTGAGCAAGAAATTTCACTTTGTCCATAGAGAAACTAAGCTGATGGTCAAAATGAATAGGTGTGAGCACAGAATGCCACTTTCTATACAATGTCATTTTGTTTAAGACATTTGACCTCCAGAAAGCCCTAGATTCATGCTCAAATCATTACATCTGTTTATGTGCAGAGTAGAATCATAGAATTTTAGTAATTTAGAAGTAGGAAGGATTCTGAAAAGTCTATAATCTTATTGCTTCATTGTCCAGATAATTTAATGTAGCCTAAAGACATTAAGTGACTCTGATCTATCATTGCAGTCTTTTAGTGGCAAAGATGGACATAAAACCTAGAGTTCTGTCCTCTACAAATCAGTGCATTATGCTGCCCACTGGTTAACAGTGGTTAGTTACCAGCCTATACTGGGTACTCTGAAAAGTGAAAAAGTATGAAAATTCCAGTGCAGCATAGAAAAGTAAGACTTTACCATAATTTTCTTCTCAGCCTAGAAATATTTAATAATTCAATTTCAGCTCTACTAAAATTAATTGACCATTTAAGAGAGATGGATTCTGCTCTAAGCTGTACAAGTTAAAAAGTGAACACTTCATCACCAAAACCACTGAGAGAATAGAAAATGAAGATAGGAGGAAATACCACTTATATTTTTATTATTATCAGGAGGTATAAAACAAATAAACATAATTAAGAGTAGTTTACACTAAGATTAGCTGTACTGCCTGACATAAATACATAAAAACCAGAGTCTATCAAATGTTGACCAACCCTTGAACAATCAAGTTTCTTTGGAGATGTTTGGTCAGAATGGTTTCTGACATCATATTGTGCATTCCCATTACAGAAAATAATTGGTATCTCTCTGAATATAAATACTTTTTAAAGATATATAATTGATTATACAGAAGGAAGTGATTTAAGCCTCTTTTATCTCTTTTAACAATAAGAAATAATTTTCAGAAACCTCAACTTTCTTGTATAAAGAATAATTGTGTCATTTTGATGAGCTTAATTTTTCATGCCCTTGGCATGCTTGACTCTAAATATTTTTTCAATCTTTTAAAAATAATTATCTCTGATTTAGTGCGAGTCACCTGGGAGGCAAGCAGTAAGCCTAGAGAATAATGTGTGTTAAGCTGTCGACTTGAACAGCTCATCAGGCTCTGCAGGCTTGGTACAACCGGAAGAGAAAGATAGAAACAGGGACCTGGCATGTGTACTGAGGACAGATAACAGATGCACAAATAGGAGATTAGTTCAGATCATGTGCCTGAACTGTGGAGAGAGAATGCAGAAAGAAAGCTGGATAATAGAGATAGTTCATTATTAGCCTTCAGGGCAAATCAGAGACTGTTTCATCGAGGCAACTTGAAGGGATGAATGAATAAATGAATGAGTTATATTGAAGAAAACTTTAAAAACAGCTTCTTCGTCTTAACATATCCTGATTTTTTGCCTGGCTGATACTCTTTCTATTTTAGTTTCCTTTCATTTTTGGCAGCAAGCTTTCCTTTCGCCCTCAAGTTGGGACTAGTGGCTGTGCCCGGCACCATCCACTTGCCCATGATGGCGTCCCTGGAAGAGAATTGCCTGCTTGCTTTTCAGGACCACCTCTACAGTCCCTCAGCCCCGTAAGAAAGGAGCCACGTCAATTATCGTGCACTCTAGGAAAGTGCTCCACCACTCGTCTGCGCTCTCAGCCCCTGTGTCACCTGCTATTTTATTCCTAGCACAATTCCTGGCAAGGAAAATACATTTAGCTATCACAAGTATTTATTGATTGAATAAAGTAGAACAGAGTAGAACACACATGTGTGTGTAAGTGTTCATGCATAAATGGAGTTCAAGATATTAAAATGTATTAAACTTATAATATTAAAAACTGTGATAATCATGAAGTTTAGAAATCCATGGAACTTAATAGAATTTCAAAGATTACTACAGGTAAACATATAGTGACTTAAACTTACTCCTTTTAGTAGAGTGTAGACATCTGTGCAACTTATTAGAACTCAAGGACCCTATTCAATATGAAAACATAATGTTTTATAAAGAACAGTATACCATGGGAAGACTGAATTATTGTATAAATGATACTGAGAACAGTCACTATATTTAGGAAGTGAAATGGAGTTAAGTTCAAAATGCCCTTTAATAAAGTAGGGGTGAAGTATTTGTTGACTTCTATGTGGGGAAAGATTTCAAGTGATAAAAGCGTGGAGTTAATCAATGAAGGAATCAATGTCACTGCATAAAAAGCACAATCATCTGAATGAAACAAAGCAGCCTAGGAGAAATAAAAAGCTAATAAACTATATTTTAAAGTTGAACAAATGGTTAATGTTTTAGCAATAAAAAGAGTTCTTAGGTGGAGTTTTTATGGTGTACTGTGAATGGAAAATGAACTGCTGCTTTTCTGAAATATAGTTTAGCAAGTGTCAAGATCCTTGAAAATCTTCACACTCTTTCCTCTAGAGATTGCCCTTGCAGGAATTCATCCTATCATAACTAACCGTTTGGTTTAGAAATGGAGGGATTTTTCATGTAATGTATTAAATATTAAATTCCAAATATGGATTAGAGACTGAGTCAGATGTTCGGGGCCTGACTGAAAACCCATTGAGGAAGGCACTTACACCTCAGGGGAACAGACAAACACATAACCTGATAATAAGGGCAAGAGACACTGTTTAAAGAGCTTGTGTTTTCTAGCACCGTTCTAGATGATTTTCCCATATTAACCTTATTTATTTCCCAACACTAGTGGAGTAGGTATTATCACAATCTTACTGAAGACATGAAAAGTAAATGATTTTTCTCATGATCGCTCAGCCTAGTGCCTCTGTAATGTCAAGCATAATACAGAGTTGGCTAGAATACACAGGACATGATTTAAACTGCTAAAACCATGCCAAAATAGTAAAAAGTTAAGAAAGTTAAAGTACATTTGATCTTATTCAGGCATAAAAACATAATTTTCTAAAGCTTTTTAATGACATGGGAAATATTTATGATATAGTATTAAATAAATAACACTGAGTACAAATCAATATACAGTAAGTAAACCCCATCTTATTACTAAAAAGTATTATAAATAGACATGTATTTTATGCATATGTATGTATACATAAATACATTTTTATATACATATTCATTTAACATTTGGCTTCCTCACAAGATTGTGAGTCAATGAGGAGATGCTTAGTTGGTTTCCCACTGTACACCTAATTATTTCCACTCTGCTTAGATGTAATAGATGTTTAAAAAGTTTTAATTGAATGAATGAATAGCATGATAAGGAAAGGTTCAGAAGTATATACAGTAGTACCCCTTTTCCATGATTTGTTAGTCATTGTCAACCATGATCTAAAAATATTAAAATTTCATAAATAAATAATTTGGAATGTTTATATCATTTACCACATTGAGCAATGCGATAAAATCTCATGCCATTTCAGTGCAGTCCTGCTGAGGATGTAAATCATCCCCTTGTCTACCATATCCATGCTGTATAGGCTACCCTCCTGTTAGTCACTTAGTAGCCTTCTGGGTTACCAGGTAAATGTTGCCAGTAGGGCTGTGCCTGTATTCAGTTAACCCTTGCATAATAGCTGAATGTGATTGACTTTACTTCCTCTTACTACACAGGCCTTATATTGTGTTATGTTATCACAAGAAGGATGAGACAGTATGACATATTGACAGAAAAATCACATTCATGTAACTTCGTTACAGTATATTGTACATAAAATATTATAATACTGTGATATATTGTTCTGTTTCATTATTAGTTATTGCTAATCTCTTATGATGCCTAATGTATAAATTAAACTTGACCATAGATATGTATAGGAAAGGACATTTATATAGAGGTCAGTATAGTCTGCAGCCTCAGGAATCCACTGGGGAGCTTGGGGTGTATGCCCTGGAGATAAGGTGCTGCATACCAAAATGCTAGCATTCGTATTCTCCAAACTTTGGAGTAGTAGACATAATGGTATTTCCTTGTGAGGATTTTCAATAGTTGCCAACTTCTCTCCAGTGAACATGCATAGATTTAACTGACTCATGGTTTTAAGAGTTAAACAGGTTCTAATGTAAAAGGGAACCTATGCTTGAACAAAATTAACAACCATCTGTCTTACTTTAGTCATTAGTCTATTGGAATACAGGAAATTGAAACAAATGATATTCCAAGATTCCCATTAGATGTGGGTTACCTGGTTGACCAACTATCAATTTATAGCCTCTCAGGTACAAATTTATGTGCCACTGCATGTTCTGCAGAAACGAAGATAAGCCCTTCAAGTTCTTTCCTTTGCCACACTGGGTAATGTTAAGCCTTGTCAGCTGGAGGCACACACAGGAGGAGGGGATTTTTCTTCCTGGACCAAGTAAGTGTGCTACCTTAGCAAGCACTGAAGTGTGAGCAACGACCATAGAATCAGGCTCAGCCATCCATGGTCAGCAGCACCCACCAGCCTGCTCTTACTACAGCACCCACTGGGGACACTTTCATTGTGGAAAGATACCAATTTTTTGTTTGTTTGTTTGTTTGTTTGTTTTGTTTTTTGAGACAGGATCCCACTATGTAGTTGAGACTAACAGCTGGGGACACTTTCATTGTGGAAAGATACCAATTTTTTGTTTGTTTGTTTGTTTGTTTTGTTTTTTGAGACAGGATCCCACTATGTAGTTGAGACTAACCTGGAACTCACTATGTAGCCCAGGCTGGTTTTGAACTCACAGCGATCCTCCTGCCTCAGCCTCCGGAGTGCTGGGATTACAGATGTGCACCACCACGCCTGGCATGACCCCATTTTATAAATAGTTTTCTCTAGCATCTTAGACAGCAGACTTCTACCAAGTTCTGGAGGGCAGATCTTCAGCAAATTTCTCAACAGCATTCTGTTCAGTGGTTGCCACTCCATGAGCCATGGCTGTGGTCTGAGTGATGAGGGTGGGAGACATCTTCCAGGGTCTCTATCTCAGTCCTTGTGACGTG